TTGCACAAGACACCGACTTGGTCTTTTACACTGATGGTATTATTCTCCTTAAACCTGGAGAGGAGAGGGTGATCGCTTCTGTAAATGATTCTGGAAGGTGTTGATGCTTCAGAGTGTGGGGAATAAATCTCAGAAACATTCCAGGTCTTATCACCTTGGTGAAATATCTAGGAGCCCAGGAGATGGGGCATGCTGCGATCTTGCTTCAAAGGTGAAAGACAACTTCTTACATCTGGCTCCTCTTCCCACCAAAGAAAAGACATAATGTCGAGCAAGCACCTTTGGATATCGGAGGCAACACGTGCCCTCTTGAGTATGTCCCTCTGATCTATTTACCCGTTATAGTAGTCAGCTGTCCGTTACTGTAAAAATTTCCTGAGATAATCAGACTAAAAAAAAAAAAAGTAGGAGAGGTCTATTTTGGTTCCTAGTTTTAGAGAATTCGCTCTGTGAATAATGACCGTTTTGCTTCGGGTCTGTGCCAGCAAATCATGGTGGTGACCACATGGTGGAAAATAGCTGCTCACTTCAGGTCACCAAGGAGGGAGAGAGGGAGAGAGAAAGACAAAGACACAGAAACAGAAACAGAGGGACATAGAGAGAGACAGAGGGAGAATAGCGTCAGAGACAGATGGAGGGAGGAAGGCAGGGGAGGATATCTAAGGCCCCTGAAACGGATTCTGATCTCTAGTTTGGTGCTACACTGCAAGGTGTAAAGAAAACCTTCTATTTTTCTTTTAACTACTAAATATTTTGATGGCTTCTTCTTCTCCGTCTCCTTCTCCTCCCTTCTCCTTCTTCTTTGGTACCTGGAATCGAACTGAGGTCCTTGCATTTGCAAGGCATGTGGCAGAACCACTGAGCTAAATCCCCAGCCCAATGGCTTCTTTTTTTAAATTAAGTTTATTGGTACATTTTATGTATGCATAAAGATCACATTTACCACAGGAAATTTGTACATGTACATGGTCTATCTTGGTTCTTATTTTTTCCATTCCCCTTCTCTCCCTTTAGCTCCTGCACCCTTCCTTATTTACAAAAACTTTGTTTCCATTTTTTCTTTCTTTTTTTTTTTTTGGTACCGGGGATTGAACTCGGGTCCTTGCGCTTGCAAGGCAGGCCTCCATTTTCTCTTTCTTTTTTTCCTTTCCTTTGCCCACTCCCCTCCCTAATTCCCCTACTCATTTGAACATTTTCTTCCTTTTCTTACAACACTTATGATATGTTTTGGTCCTCATTTACACTTTCAGTTTCTCACACCAGAGAAACAATGCAGTATACACACACACACACACACACACACACACACACACGTGTGTTTGATTTATTTCACCTGAGTACGGTATCAAGGTGCATCCACTTATCTATAAATGTCTCAAGTTTATCTTTCTTTATGGCTGAGTAGTACTCCATTGCATAAAAAACCCCACATCTTCTTTATCCATTCATCCTCTGATAGGTATTTGGTCTGTTTGTACGATGCAGCTATTACAAATTGAGCAGCTATAAGCATGGGTATGCATATGTTTCTGTGATGTGATGTTTTTAATCCTTTCAAGAAGATACCAAGAAGGGGAATAGCTGGGTCAAATGGAATCACTAGTATTGGTTTTTTGAGGAACACAAGAAAAATTTAAAGACAGAATTAAAGAAAGAAAGAAATGGGGAGGCAGGATGGCCAATACTGAACAAGCAGCAAAAGACCCTGGCCAGCCAAAGCTGCTGATATTTATTGGTGACCTCATAGGTTAGGGTCATAGGGCTATGTGTGGTTGCTGGGGATATGTTACTGACACAGGCAAGGCTTGTAAGAGAAGAGACAAAGCATTCTTAATTTTGGGAACGGAATTTGGGTGTGAGTCACTCTGACATCAGCTGCCATATTACCTAGTCACGTAGGCTTTGGTCTGACGCATTTCTCAAAAAAAGCCAGTTGTGGGGTTAACTCTTTACAGCCTGCACTGCTCACAGCCTGCTCTGGGCATAATCAATAGGAAGGTCTCCCATTACGTCCCCTACAAGAAAGAACAGCATCATCGCAATCCTATTCAAGAACACAAACCCAATGACCTAAAATCTCCCAGTAGATCCTACTTTTATTTGTTTTGTTTGTTTAGTTGTTTTATACAGTATCTTACTATGTAGTTCAGGCTGTCTTTGAACTTACGGTGTAACCCAGGATGCCCTCAAACTTACAGCAATCCTCCTGTTTCAGCCTCCTATGTGCTGCAATTACACCCACGCACCACCATGCGGGCAAGACCCTACATTTTATAGGTTCCACCAGCTCCCAGTAGTGCTAAACAGAGGAGGAGGAGGCCCTTAACATGTTGACTTTGGAGGACATACCCATTCTATAATATAGCACAAAATATTCTTTTTTTCATTAAGTTTATTGGTACATTTTAGGTATACAATATAGTTACATTCTTCTTTGGGATGATGTACGTTGGTTCTTATTTTTTCCCCATTCCCCTGTCCTCCCTTCACCCCCTCCATCCTTCCCTATTTACAAAGACTTTGTTTCTGTATTTTTTTTGTTTTTCCTCATATTTTTTCTTTTCCCTTCTTTCCTTTCCCCTACCTCTCCCACTTCCTCTACTCCTTTAGACCTTTTCTTCTTATTACACAATATAAATTATACATTTTGGATATCAGAGGCAACATGTGCCTCTCTTGAGTATGCTCATTTATTTATACTTATTAATAATATAAATATACATTTATTTACACTTTTAGTTTTTCATACCAGAGAAACTATTTGGTATTTACAAGTGTGTCCTATTAATTTCACTTAAGAGTATGGTCTCAATGTGCATCCATCCACTTAGCTATAAATGACTCTAGTTTCTAGTTCTTCATGACTGAGTAGTACTCCATTTTATATTTTTAAAAAACCACATAGGCTGGGGATTTAGCTCAGTGGTTCCGCCATCTGCCTTGCAAGCACTAGGACCCAAGTTTGATCCCCGGTACCAAAAAAAAAGAGATCCAAAAAAACCCACATATTCATCCAGTCTCCAGTTGATGGACAATTGGGCTGTTTCCAAGTTTTAGTGATTACAAACTGAGCCACTATAAACATGAGTGAGCATATATCACCGTGATATGATTCTTTTAATTCTTTGGGAGCAGAGGAATTCCCAGCAGAGGAATAGCTGGGTCAAATGATACTTCTAATCCTAGGTGTTGAGGTATCTCCATGATGATTTCCACTGTAGTAGCACCAAGCTATCCTCCCATCAACAATGAAGAAGAGTCCCTTTCTCCCCATAACCCTGCCAGCATTTGTTATTGGTTGATTTCATGATAGCAGCCATTCTTTCTGGAATGAGGTGTTTTAAAAAGTTCATTTTGTATGTAGAACAACAGAAGGCTTACTTGCAAAAAAACAACTAAGGTTTCTTTGTAAAATATATTTTATAGCTTGGCGTGGTGGTCCATGCCGGTAATTCCAGCACTCTGGAGGTTGAAGCAGGATTTCTGTGAGTTCAAGGTCATCCTGGGCTACATAGTGAGTTCAAGGCCAGCCTGAACTACATAGCAAGACCATATCTCAAAAAAACCAAAAAAGCCAGGCTTGGTGGCACACACCTGTAATCCCAGCACTTGGGAGGCTGAGGTAGGAGGATCGCTGTGAGTTCGAGACCAGCCTGGGCTACATAGTGAGTTCCAGGTCAGTCTCAACTACATAGTGAGACGCTGTCTCAAAAAAACAAAACAAAACAAAACAAAAAAAAGAGTATATTTTATTACTGTCTATTAATGCTGTGAAATATTGGGTTTCAATACATATAATGTATTTTAATTATATCCATCCCTATCACCCTCATACCTTTCTCCCTTCCCCTTATCCCTTCTTGTCTAGTAACAGCCTCCCTCTACTTTCTTGTTATTTTCTTAATTTCACATAGTAGGAAGAAGAGGTGGTACTTGATTCTCTGGGTATAGATTATTTCACTTAACAAAAACAAAAACAAAAACAGAGCTGGGTGTGGTGGTGCCATCTTCTAATCCCAGTTTTTTTGGATTCTGAGTTAGGAGAACCACAAGTTCAAGTCCCACCTCATCAACTTTAGCAAAATTGTCTCAAAATGAAAGCGACAAGGGGTGTAGCTCAGTGGGAGAATGCCCCTGAGTGTGATTTTCAACATTATAAAAACAAACAAGGGACAGTGTAATTTACGGTGAGGTTCTGGGGGAAAGACATAAAGTCACTAAAGGATTTCTGGTGGGGACAGAGACACCAAGAGCAAGAAGAGTATGAGGTCTTTGCGTCATGGTTTTTCAATCTCTGAAAGGTTAAAGGTCTGAAGCCAGCTGCACAGGGCCACAGGAGGAGGTCAATCCCGGACCCCAGCAGTGACTCTGGAGGCCACAGCTCCTGTGAGCTGCTCTGGTCGGTAATATCCTGTGTGTAACGTAGGGTTCTGACGCTTGCAACGCAACACTCTCCTGGCGGGGGTGAGGACAAGTGAATGCAGCAGTGTAGGGCCCTGAAGATGGGCAGGCTCTGTGACGTGTGGGAGCACATGGACCGTCTGAGCGGAAGGGAAGCGTCTCAGAGGCAAGCTATGTGAGACAGCGGTCTGAGCAGACCTCGCCTGGCGGCACTGACCTTAGCAAAGCCAAGCGGCTCGATGTGGGGTTGAGATTGCCACAAAAATGGTCTCTATTGGGTCCTGCTGAGGATCAGCGTCAATATTCTCCCAGAATAATTCCTTTAAAGCCAAGGGCCTTAGCCCCCGTTTCCCCTTGCCTTTGCCAATGGAGAAGTCAGAAAAATGTACACTTTCTGGACAAACTCTGCCTGGTGGGCAAAAGGCTCAGCCGGAGGCATGGAGGCTCGGTATGAGACCTGCTCACCCTTCACCGCATCGCCTCTGTTGTGCAATCCCCTTCCCACGCCTTCCTCCTTCGAATCTGAAATGTCTGTTGCATCACTGACCCAGGCCAGCAATGTAGGCATGGTAAAAAGAGAGATTGTATCTGACAGGCAAACAGTCACCCTGGTAGGAAACCTTCCTGAGAGTGGCTGGGAAACAGGAACATAGCCAAAGGGCAAGGCTTTCCGGGGACGCTTTATATACTGCGACTCCAAGAGAGCTGCACAGAAGCACCAACTGGGCACAGCCACCCAGAGGAAGCCAACAATGGTGGAACTGCAGGTGAGTTAAAATGGCACTGGGTCCAGTGCTCCCAGATGAAAGAAGGGGAAGTTTTATGAGATGCAAATGTGAGTGTTTCCTTGGCACATATTTTGCTGGCGGAGGTGCTCGTGTAGAACAGAAGGACACTGAGGATGTGATGCAAGAGATCCTTATAGGGATGGCAGACGTGTGCAGTACTGGGTTATCAAGCTGCGTGTGCGCTCCGTTGAGATGGGCAGTGTCCTTGGGAGGTGGTCAGGTAACCAGGATGTGGGACTATGGGAGTGAGTAGAAGAGAGGCTGCACGGTTGCTCTTCAACACTGTGGCTGTGAGTGTGTACATGAGTACAACTAGAGCAGTAAATGAGCAATGTCACACAGCACAGTTGGCAGGAGCTGGGGAGTGTGCATTACTCCGCTGTGATTCAGCTGGACTCTGTGTGTGGGCTATGTGCGTGTGGGCGAGCGTTGTTGCTAGGGATGAAACCCGGCACCTTGCACATGTCAAGTACAAGCTCTATCAGTGAGCAACATCCCTACATCTCATTTTAACAGGTTCAGATGGCAGAGTTATTGTCGGGTGGAATTGCAGAAAGGGCTTTCCCCTGCCAATGGGTAAGCCCAGTGTAGAGCTTCTCCATGTCAGTAATGAGGATTAAGATTTTACATTGATCCAAGTCTTCTGGTGCTGATAACATTCTAAAGAATAAGAAGTTTTAAATAAATCCTTGTGTTAGAGAAACTAATCACACTCAAGCAATGGATCTACGAGGTCATTACAAATTCAAGATTTGAACCCGGATTGCCTGGCACTTCTGCAACTCTTCTGTCTCATCAAGGAAACTTAGCCCCAACTGTGTTGGGGACAAAAGCAAAAGGAGCCAGAGTCTGACCTTTGGCCTCTAATCTGGTGGCCTCCGGTCTCTCGTGGGAGGATCACACACACCTGGCCTGACACCTCTTGTCCACTCTCGATCCCCACAACAGATCCCGTACTCACGGAATGTGTCCTTGCCTGTGGGCTCTACAGTGACGATCAGAGGCAAAGCTAACAATGCTTTCCGGTGAGTCCTGCAGTGTGTGGGTGCGGGTGGGTGAGGCGTGAGGCTGTGAGAGCTCAGGGGCTCCAGTCGTGTCGGGGTGACGCTGACACGTTTGATCAGCCCGCTGGGGCCACACCGTGGGAGGAGGGCTGGAGACCCCACGGTGAGAGGTTATTTGCCGGGCTACGGTCAGATCTTGATTTCTGGGGTAGGAGACCACGCAGGTTGGGGCTGTGGCTCTGCGTCCAGGGACACAGGCTTCTCGGGGGATGCACGATCCATAGGCCTCTCTCCACAGCTGCTGCTCAGCTTCAGGGTCGGGACAGAGACACAGCAGCTCTGCAGCAAGCCCTAGAGGGACAAGGGTTTCTGTACCACCCAGGAGGCAGCATGAGGACACTGTGGGAAGGGGTTTGTGCTGTGAGGAAGGGACGGACTGAGCACGCTATGTTCTTTGGTCTTCAGAAAGGACCCACAAATGCAGGTGGACTTCCACACTGGCACCAACGAGCAGTCTAACATCGCCTTCTCCTTCCAAGTGTACTTTGGCAAATTTGTGATCATGAACACTCTTCAGAATGATGGCTGGGGAACTCATGAGAAATCCTTGAGCGTGCCCTTTGAAGAAGATACAGAATTTGAGCTGCACATCTTGGTACTGCAGAAGCACTACCAGGTGAGTGATTGCAGGGTGAACCCCCGGGCAGCCTCCACAGCCTCTTGGAGGACTCAGCTCTCCCTGGCCCGGCGTTGACAATCATTTTGGGTCCATCTTCTGTAACTTCTCCTGCCCCAGACGTTCATCCCTGGGCAGGTCTGCTTGTGCTGCCTCCTTGGGTCTCCTTCAAATCGGACCAGCGTGCAAAGTCACCTCTCACTGTCATTTCCCCAGAACGTGGACAAAATTCTATCTTCCCCCATAGCTCTCATTTCTGTGTCTGCTCTCATGGAACTTTTTAGGAAGCTACGCAGTAGAAAATACACACGAATAAGACTGTATCAATCCTTTAAAAATCATGCCTTCCTCTCGCTCCTAAACCTCAATTCTTCTGCCATAGCAGCCGTTACTTGCTTCTCTATTCTGTCTTGAGATAGTCTACACTTACAGAAGCCTTGTGTGTCTGTGTTTGTGTGTGCAGACTTTCATTTGTCGCCTTTTAAACAAGCAGTTATATCTTTTTCTCTATACAGTACAGGCTGAGAAGCGTAACTTACTTAAAAATTTTTACTGTTTTAGTTTATCGGTTCGTGTGTATCGGACATAATGCTTACATCGCTTGTGAGCAGTCAGTCCACATACATAGCGCATCTTAATCTCTTTTTGTCATTTCTTTTCCCTCCCTCCCTCCCCCTCCTCTATGCCATCGTCTTATTTATTTTTTTTTTTTTGGACACAAGTTTGCAGTATGTAATATTTGCGTTCCTTGTCTGGAGTCGGGATTTGTTGTCAGAGAATAAATCTTACGAACAAATAGGAGAATATTGGTTTCCAGAGCCGAGGACTGACACGAGGGAACAGGAGGGTAGACAGAGGATGGGTCGTGGTCAAAGCGTACAGTTGGAGAAGCAAAACGGCTTCGAACGTTTTCTAGCACAGTAAGATAATGATGGCTGGTGACAATGAATTTCCTATCTCAAAATAGCTAGTAGTTTGAATATTCCCAACATTCAGAAATGATACACATCTAAAGTGATGTACATAAACAGCCTGATCATTATGAATACCATACATGTATTGAAATATCTCATGGCACTCCCAAATATGTAACATTCTTATAAATCAACTAAAATACAAATGGAATTTTAAAAAGAATATGGCTTTTTGAAACCATGCCATCCATTGCCCTGTTCTTTAATGATCACATGCTCTTCCAAAAGAGTTGCCATAACTGGTTCAACCTGCCCCTTGATGGGAGACATTTAGGCTGTTTCTAATATTTTACTCTTTTAACGATCATGTCTCTATATAATTCATCATTATCATCATCCCAATTCCTTTATTTTTTTGGTGGACTATTTTAAAGAAATGGAATAGATGGATCCAAACCTATGTGTGTTTTAAATTTGACAAATTAACACCTAAAAAACTATGCCGCGTACAGCCTCAGCAGTAAAGAAATGCACAGTTGTGTGTGTGGTGGCACATAACTGTAGTTGCACCACTCAAGAGGCTGGGGCAGGAGGACTGCCAAGGGTCAGAGGCCTGCTTGGGCTACATACTGAGTGCAAGACGAGCCCGAACTACATAATGACACCCTATCTCAAAAAATAAATAAAAATATACACAATTTTGTGATCTCATTTCAGTAGGCTAAATGATTGACATATTATGAAGATAAAGGCGGGAAATTTTTTCACGCTTCTCTGCTGTTCATAATAATACCATAGTGTTTGAATCATCTGTGCTCATCTGTTTGAGAACATTCAAGTTTCATTCTTTACCTCCACGAGTCCAAATCTGAGTACTCAAAAAAGAAACTAGGCCATCAGCAGTCATGTCGGTCAGGCCCTGTGGGACAGAAACTCTTGCATTTGCTCAGTGTGTACTGAGCTCTGACTGTGTGGCTGGTTCTGAGCAAGACACAAGGGTTTGAGACTCACGACATAGTCCCTCGCCCTTGGGATCTGCTAGGGTAGAAGAGAGGCTGAGTGACCGGGAGTGGTAGAAGCTCACTGGAGGAAGAAAGGAAACAAGAGAGAGTGAGCACCTGTCTGAAAGAGTTAAAAGAAAGAAGAAAGAAAGAAAGGTAGCCTGGAAATAGCATGATGACCACTGTGTGCGGAGGTGTCATCAGGAGTGGTCTGAGGGCAGGTAGAGGCGGTAGGGGAGAAACAGGAAGGATGGCACACTTGTCTGGCAGCGTGCTGCGTGTCTCACACTTTCCCTTTGCAGATTTCAGTGAACGGCAAACAGTGTTGCATCTTTGTCCATCGAACCCCAGTGAATTCGGTGCAGATGATACAGGTGTGGAGAGACGTTTCCCTGATCTCGGTGAATATCCAGGAGGGACCATACACACATTCCCCATTGTGAAGAGTTTCTCTGTACATCGCCGTGGAATACCCCAAGCCCACGAACAGTGATTCCTCATTACCCTTTGGATCCAATTGGTCATTAAAACTTTACAAAACGTGGCAGGATCTGGCTCTTCTTTTAGAGAGAAAGAAAAGAAATGGTCATCACCAAGAGGCACATGGGAGTTATGGGGGGGCGGTCCAGATGGATCAATCTGGGCTGATGTGAGTTCAGCAGTAGAGACATGACAGAGCATGCTGGAGTCCGCCAGTTCAATTCCGAGCACCACAAACATAAGTAGCAATGAAAAAGAAGATAAATCTTTTTGTGACAGAAGAAGTCAGGTCACTGAAATGTCTGAGAAACCTTGGGAGCAACATTTCTGTAAAGTCCCTATTATACGCCAGGCCCTTGGAACCAAGGTCCTCACCCAGTTCCAATTGCTAAACTGAAATATTCCACACTCCCTATTGCCACACACAGGTAGTTGGTGGCTTGGGGGAGAAACATTTCCTTTGTAAGTGAATTGCCTCGGGTGCTTAGTTGTAGTAATACAAAGCTGACTAATACAATTATATATCACAAGATAAAATGGGAAAACTGAATCAGATTGGACCTACAGAAAAGCCCAAAAGCTCAAGAGGTACAGTGAGCACTCTTACCTCTTCCTGCAGTGCGGGGAGAACTGGAGCACACAGTGACAGGTCTTCCTTGCTTCTCACATATCCACCAGGTTCACCATCTACCCAAAGTTAATCACAACTTTTAGTTTGCTATGTTTTCTTCCAAAAAGTCTTCACAAGTTAAAAGATAAATATGGATATAATTTATCTCCCCAATTTTATACTGAAGATTTGAACACACACACACACACACACACACACACACACACACACACACACACACACGTTCTTTCCCTAGGGACCATTGAAATGTTAAAGGTTTTAAAAATGTGTCCCATTACAATTTATAGGGGCACCATAACATATTTAACCAGTTTCTTAATGATAAGAACTTCGGTTTTCTTTGCCTTTCCTTTCATAAAAAATATTACAACAAATGACTTTATACATTTGAAAGGTATGCAAGAAGGTCCACAGGATGAATTGCAATAATCAAAGGTTACACATACTTGTAGTATTAATAGATGTATCTGAATTTTCTCATGTAAGCTTTACTAATTTGCACTGTTATGCACCAGAAGGCACGAACTCATTAACGAGCCAGTACCTTGAAGTATCAGATTTCTAGGATGTTGCCAATATGACAGGTAAAGTTCTTTCGTTCCATCTTGGATGAACATCCCTTGACGTGTCTAATACCCGTGGTGAAAGGTACCCCAAATCGCCCTCGATTTCCTACCGATGGCAAGTTCAGAAGCGCCTCTCATTCTTCATGGGTTCAATAACTAACAAGAAGGACTCAGAACTCACTGCACGTTGGTAGATTATTATAATTTATCACAAGAAAAGGCTTCCTATTGAACTTGGCCGCAGGAAGAAGTCTACAGGGCAGAGTTCACGAGGGAACCGCACTGGAGCTTCCATTTGTCCTCACCCCATGTCAGGAAAGAGTTGCTTCTCACGCACCACTGTTGTATGATACACACGGAATAACGTCAACCAGGAAAGCTCAGGGTGCCCAGAGTCTTTATTGGGCTCCATGACTGACTGCCCCACTTGGCCCTAGGTGGCGGATTCCAGTCCCTAACTCTTGCAGACATTGAAAACTCATGACCAAAGCCCTCATCCTCACTTCATGCCTGGTGTGGCTTCATCCCCACCCACAGGCTCCTTGTGACCATCTAACTGCCCGGGACTCTCATTCTGCATTGCTAGATTGTTTGTTTTGTTTTGTTTCTTTGTGCGGTACTGAGGATGGAACCTGGGGGCACTCTACCACTGAACTACATCCTCTGCCTCTTTTTTATTTTATCACAGAGCTTTCTTTTTTTTTCCATTAAGTTTATTGGTACACTTAAGGTAAACAATACAGTCATGTTCATCATTGGGATCTTGTACATTTACATGATGTTTCTTAGTTCTTATTTTTTCCCATTCCCCTACCTTCCCTTCACTCCCTCTACCCCTCCCTATTTACCAAGACTTTGTTTCCATATTTTCCTTTTTCATATTTTTTTCTTTCCCTTAATTCCTTTTCTTTACACTTCCCTTTCTCCTTTGGATCCTTTCTTCCTATTTCACATTATCAATTATACCATTTGAACCTTATTTACACTTTTAGTTTTTCATACCAGAGAAATTATTCTGTATCTACCCAAGTGTGTCCTATGTATTTCACTTAAGAATATGGCTTCAATGTGCATCCATTTAGTTGTAAATGTCTCTAGCTTCTCATTCTTGATGGCTGAGTAGTACTCCATTTTATAGAAAAATCACATCTTTTTTATCCAGTCTCCAGTTGATGGGCAATTGGGCTGTTTCTAAGTTTTAGCTATTACAAAATGTGCCGCTATAAACATCGGTGCACTTATATCACTGTGATATGATTCTTTAAATTCTTTTGGAAAGATACCCAGCAGAGGGATAGCTGGGTCAAATGGGACCTCTAATCCTAGTTTATTGAGGTATCTCCATATTGATTTTCCACAGTGGTTGTACCAGTCTGCACTCCCACCAACAGTGCAGAAGGGTTCCTTTCTCCCCACAGCCCCACCAGCATTTGTTATTGGTTGATGTCATGATAGCAGCCATTCTTTCTGGGGTGAGGTGGAATCTCAGTGTTGTTTTCATCAGCATTTCTGAAATGACCAGTGATGTTGAACATTTTTCATATATGTATTTGCTGTTTTTACTTGTTTCTCTGAGGAATGTCTGTTCATTTCAGATGCCCATTTTTGAATCAGGTCATTTGGGGGGCTCTGGCTTTTTTGAGTTATTTATAAATTCTAGATAGTAGACCTTTCACAGAGCTTTCTTAATTTGCCCAGGTACCACTTGAACTTTCAATCTTCCTAATCCAGCCTCCCAAAGTGCTGGAATTACAGGTAGGTGTGCACCACCCAACTCAGCTCTTGTTTCATTTTCATTAAGGGAAAGAAGCCAGACTCAGGAAGAGAAGTATCACATATTCTCCTCACAATGTGAAATCTAAAAAATTACATGAAAATAGGAAGGAGACTATTACTAAATAACGGCAAAGGCATGGGAAAGATGGGGAGACGGCTTAAGGGTGACATGGGGGAATGGATTGATCAAAGTATATTATCCAATATTCCTTCTATTTATTGGCTCTCATAAAAATGTTTTAAATTGATTACAGTGAAAAGTTTGGTCATCCGTTTTCAATTGAACACAATAGAAAATGTCCTTGAACATTAAAATTCATAAATTAGCAAACGGGGCTGGGGATTTAGCTCAGTAGTGTCACCGCCTGCCTCACAAGCACAAGGTCCCAAGTTCGATCCCCAGTACCCAAAAATAAATAAATAAATAAGCTACTAAAAAGTTAAATTTTTGTATGATAATTGAAAGAAAAGTTGAAAATTGTAGAAAAAAGTAAAAATTGCTATTGATGACAACCTACCTATAAAAATCACACATACCTATATAAAACACACAGCCACACTATAAGAATACAACTTCCAGATGCAGTTTGGATTTAGCTCAGTGGTGCTGCTGCCTGCCTCGCAAGAACAAGGTCCTAAGTTCAATCCCTGGTACTGAAAAAAAAAAAAAACTATTCATAAATCTACAACTATAAAACAATTAGGCTAATATGTCATCTCTCTCAGTTCTTAGAAATTTTCATTTAAAATTTATTTAATTTAAACAGGAAATGATGAGATACATTGGTTTAAATATAAAAACATGCAATATCATTAGGAAGAAAAGTATAAGACATCACTAATGGGTATTAAAAACCAGAAAGAAAGGAGAGTTATAAAAGATTCACTACAAAAAACTAAAAAGTTGTAAGGATGCTAGTTATCTACAATTGATATAAAATTTCAAGTACGTTTTCATGATGTGTACACTGAAGTTTTCATGGAGCTTAAATTATTTCCATAATTGACTTTGGAGGCAACAGGAACAAGGAGAGGTCAGTCTCGAGAACAAGAGTGGAAACCACCTCCCAGGTCACACAGTACATCCCAGAGCCATAGTGGACCAGCTAGTGAGGTAGTGGTGAGGAAAAGATGAGCCACAGTGGAGCCACACAGAGAGAGCGAACAGGTGTGTGACCCTCGGGTTGCAAAGGATGAGCAGTGGGTACGGAAGTCAGGACATGCTGCTGTCCTCATTGACAGCTACATGGAATAAAATCAAGGTTCCTATTACCCAACAAACAAAAGCAATTCCAGAAAGTTCATCAACATATAGATATAAAACAGTGCTTTCAAGAAGGAAATGAATGGTAATTTCTTCATAGCCTTGAGGGAAAATGGAGATTATACAAATTCTTCACAAATTCCTCCAAACATGAAACAGAAGACGAGGGAAACATTGCTCAGTCTCGACAGGCTGTTCCACTGCTTCTGCACTTTTATTATGTGAGACTCTAACATTTCTTTGGAAGATTTGGTGAGGAATTTCAGTAGTTCTTCTTGTCTTGCTCTAACAAACCATAAGCTCCAAGTTCCTGCACACTGAGTCATTCTGTTTGTGATGAGACACGCTTGGTATTTCGCTGCTCACGTCTCCAAATTCTTCTCTGTCACTTTGTGAAGTATCCTTGTATTTTCCTATTTGCCGATCAGTTCCTTAAAGACCGGAACATCCGCTCTTACATGGATAGTTTTTATGCAATGCTCCAATAACTATTTATTGCAACACTACTTTCTAAGCCTGGTTTATGAATATTAAGTTTGTGAATATTGAGTGACCTGCACTCAGACAGGTCAGGTTTCTGACCCTGCCACTTGCGTGGCTCTGTCGCTACCTTGAATAGTGGGAACTACCACAAAATGGACACAGTGTGACAAAGCAGAGTTGATTCAATGGGTCACTACAGCTGCCAGAGCAAGACCTCAAGCCCAGTTAATTAGCCCTCAGAGCCCACATCCCCATAACGTGGAGTCAGTCTTTATTTA